GTATCTATTCAATCTTAGTGACGAAACATTTATTTTGTTATTTATAACAATATTTCTGTCCTGAACCCAATAAAGCCAAGCCAATTACCGCTGGTAAAAAGACAGTATTGTCATTATATCTATTGATAAATCACAGAGATAAGTATACACTTGACCAAATTTTTTTTTTTAACAATAGTCATTAGTGCACCTACTGTGTCATAAGTTAGAGAAAAGGTCTTGAAAATTTGGGATGCACTTCTGGCCTTTTATTGATATTCTAACTATGCTCTCCTCTAAATTCATATAAACAAAATCGAGGTTGAAAGGCTGTTGTTTTATTACATATTTACTTACATACATATGACATATTTATTATATTTATTACACTTCTGCACTAATATATCTGGGGATCAGCATCCCTAGGTATAACTAGATATATATTTCAAATCTCAGACAGGCCCCCAATTCCTTCTTTTCTTTATTTGTGGTTGCACCTCTTGACCTTAAATAATTTGTCTGGGGTAGAGGTAAACTAAGTAAAAATATTGTCAGTTTAGTTATCTCAGTATAAACAGGAGTAACAATCATTATATACATAAACTAATATTGTTATTCACACTATTTCCAGGTTCCATTAACATTTGTAACTAATTTGTTCTTGACCATAGCTGGATACACATGAGGATTATCATAAACTCTAAAGTCTTTCTGAACATTAAAACTTTGAAGTGAGCCTGGTCATAAATTCAACATAACTATAGAATGTAATCAAAATTTATGTAACCATGGGTAATTAATTATAAATAACTATGAACTTGACAAACCATATGTGTCTATGGACTGACAAAGCATGATTGACTGATATCTATCACAGTAATCAATAAGCTACTTACAGTTTAACCAACAAACCTATTAATATCTAAAAATAGGAACATATATATAACTGTATTAGTGACAAAGCTAGTGCTTGAAACCCAACTGCTCCAGACAGAACTCAACAGACCACTGACAGTGAAGGGTGGAAGGGTGGCCACTAGCAAGAAACAAACACCATTACTTACAACCATACAAATGTATCATTCTTTTCCCTTCCTTTAATCACACTTAATTATAATATAACTCACAATATAAAATGGTAAATATTATTACAGGAACATGTATTATATTTTCTGTTTAAATATAATGACAAACGTTCATAATGTCTTATACCTGTTAAAATGGTTAGTAACTCTGGTTTACGTCAGTAACTAACAAACACATACACACATGCACATGTTGGCAAGCTGCATTAATATGGATGAACTCAGACTATACTCACTACAGGAAAATAGAGTATTTATATAAACAATAATGTAAATTAAGCATTACTAAACGATTATTAACGTCCAGAATTTATCCAGACTTAATAAATTCTCGAGACAAAGGGTGACCATGTACATAAAGTTACAGGCTAGTGAATACATGTAAAATCCGTATACACTGGGTCATTACACCCCTCGAATACCAAAAAAATGAGGTTACTCAATAGTAAACACATTTTCTAAAAGGCAATGGTAACATGCAATAACTAAACTAATCAAAACATTACAACATTTCATGCATCAATACAGTGGATAGAGCATTTAAATGGGCCTATAGCAAACACATATGGCCAAAGACATGGTTTGGCCATATCACATAATGACATATATTGAGATGATTTCGGGGCTTTTTAGTGTCCACGCGGCCCAGTCCTCGACCAGGCCACCACCCCCCAGGGAAATAGAATATAGGATGTTTTAAACCCCGAAACCCCGAAACGCTATGCGTATTAGTGGCTTTAGGTATTGTATGTACTAGCTCTATCTATAAATCCAACATTATGTTTGTAACTTTGCATCTATGTATGTACTTCTCCTGAATAAAATATTATTATTATTATTATAATTATAATTATTATTATTATTATTATTATTATTATTATTATTATTATTATTATTATTATTATTTTACATTACTGGACCTTAGTTGGAACAAAACGGCTCCTTGTTCTGAGGAATCAATATGCATTATGAATTGGGGACTGGATTAACCAAATTGGGCACGGGCTAACACTGGGAAAGAGGCTAAAATGCTCTTAATTTTTTTTAACTAGTTCTGACTCTCTTGAGCCCATTTAAATTAAGTGCTGCCACTAGTGAAAAATTCCTACAATACCTTCTATAATTGGCACACACGCAAAGGAATCGTTGTACTTGCTTCTTACTGGTCAAGACGGAGTAATCCATAATTGCACTTTCTTTACTTTGGAAAGGTTTTATCCTATCTTCACCAACTTCCTGACCTAAATAGACAATTGTGTCACTTGCAAAATTACATTTACAGAAATTAATCATGAAGTTAGCACCTTGAACAGCTGTGAATAACTTTCTTTACCCTAAGAGGTGATATTTTCATGAATTACTAAACAGAAGAATGTCGTCCTGATATGCTCAACAATTGGGAACGTCTTTTAACTTTAAATTCTTGAGTCTTTGAAGAGTGTCAGGGTAACGTAGAACAAATGTCATGAATGTGAATTGAAAGTGGCATTAGGTATTTAAAGTTGATACCTAACTTGCACAGTCTGTCAATGGTACCTGGTGGTAACCTTTGGACTGATAGCGTTTCAACACTTGTTTACTGAGGCCAAGTTGATTGATACAATTATCCAGTAGAGGCAGTGGAAAAGTATCAGCCACTAATGCCTTATTTAGGCGCCAATAGTCAGTACAAAGGTACCATCTCCCACTAGGCTTCTTGAGGTTATCTTGAGATGATTTCGGGGCTTTTTTAGTGTCCCTGCGGCCCGGTCCTCGACCAGGCCTCCACCCCCAGGAAGCAGCCCGTGACAGCTGACTAACACCCAGGTACCTCTTTTACTGCTAGGTAACAGGGGCATAGGGTGAAAGAAACTCTGCCCATTGTTTCTCGTTGGCGCCTGGGATCGAACCCAGGACCACAGGATCACAAGTCCAGCGTGCTGTCCGCTCGGCCGACCGGCTCCAGCACCACCAAATTTGCTATTCTTTATAGTGAAAGTGAGCCTCAGTGTTGTGCCCTCGATTGACATGTCCACTTGACTTCTTCCTCATCTGACAAAAACCGTTGCAATCAGGACCAGAGCTACTGGGTAAGGACTACTCTGTAGTCTCTCTTTGATACCACAGCAAGTCCCTTCGCTGCCCAAATCTCTTCTATTTGGCCTTTGTACTGGTCATTGATAAAATACTCCAAACAGTAGTGCTGGCAGAAGATTGACTTTCCTCAGTGACGTCTGGATAATGAGAGCTTGAACAAATCACTGTCCAACACAGACAGGACATGATACATGTGGGAAATATTTACCACATCACCCTGTTACAATAAATTTTAATCATGAAATATTTTAAATTAAATTCCTTATGATAAGTAACTTCTCTGTTTGAGTAATACGTAATTAACCAAGTGCGCAGGTATATGTCGGGCGACGCCTCGTAGTTGCTTCATCACACACCATAATTTTAAGTAAGAGAATGTTTATATCCCAAATAGTTACTCATAAAGTATAAATTTAAAGAAAATTAATCAGTTCTTATAGATTTAATCGACTTAATATAGGTAACTCGAATTTATAAATAAATGCATATTAACGTTTCTTATGAATAATGGAAATAATAGATCGCCAATCTCTCCTGAAGATGGTAGGGGATGTCCTGCATACATCATATTAGAGCGAGCACGTTCTCAGTTTTGGGCTGCTGGTGATAATCAATTTCTCTGTCTCACTCATTGGTTACGTGACACCTATTTACTTCAGCGCACAGCATCTTGGCCAAGTTTGATGTACTTAAGCAGTGAGGTGATTGAGTGTCGTTATGGTGCTGGGCAACAACAATTTACTAGTAAGCTCCCAAGCTTTTCTAAGCTCAAATTCAGAGTGAACAATAAATGAGGTTATGCCTCTGTTATAAATCGCATAAAATGATTTGAATTCTAATAGAAATCTAACAACAGGGAGAAGTCGATCCTCATAGTTCATGTACCTAGGAGGACGCCGACAACCATATTGGAAATGTCGAGCCTAACATGCAACTCAGCTTACCAGCGGAGATTTTGTTGTTTTACATTAATAATCATTAATTACCAGAATATTTATTTTTAATATGAATCTTATCCCATACAGTTGTGTTAAGCAATATATTAAACAAATAAGATTTTCAACTAAATATCAGGTTCCAATATAAATTACCCACTGAAAGGTATAAGTATAAATTTAAGTTAAATACAAATTATAATAATGAACCCCACCCCCCAAAGATTGGTTTGGGAACCTAAATGAATTTATGGTTAATACAGTTCACTAGATTCATAAACTTAAAATTTTCCCATGCCCCATTTGTTCACCTCCCATTGGGGAGTTCATATCACGTCATCTGGTATGTCTTCCAGATGGAGCACATAATAATGTATTCCCGAAAGTTCCAAGAAACAAATACTGTGCGTGACTCAAAAAAACGGGTGCACCTATTCAATATAACAAAATTATAAATGCTTATTTAATCATAAAAAAATCTTTAAAGGTTGTTTAACTATATTTTTTGTATTAATGTTAGTTTAATTATAATAACAAATTGAAGCTTATCTAAATATTATACATTTTTAGTGTGATATTTGTTCCTGCTTATTTGAAAGACGCTCATGGATTTTTTGGCCCCAATGACATTACTGCAAGGTGGAGAGTTGTATTTATTTCAAGGAGAGCTGTATTTATTTCAGTTGAGACCGGTGCCGTGTATTAATTACTGTGACAGATGAAAAAGTATTTTTGCACAAATATTTTGTTTGAAAATTCAATATTTTTTTTTTTTTTACACTCAACAATAAATATTCACTTTAATTGAGAGCCAAAAAATAAGGTCTTGATGAAAGTGATTATATTTTAGCTTTGAGGCTGTCATCAGGTGATTGATCGAGGAGTCTTTCTTTTTTACTCATGCATAAATTGCTATCTTCATTGT